CAGCAGCAGCAGCAGCAGCAGGAGTAGGAGTAGTAAGTAGTAGTAGCAATAGTAGTAGCAGTAGTAGTAGTAGTAGTAGTAGTAGTAGTAGTAGTGGTAGTGGTAGTGGTAGTGGTAGTGGTAGTGGTAGTAGTAGCGGTAGCAGTAGTAGTAGTAGTAGTAGTAGTAGTAGCAGTAGTAGTAGTAGCAGCAGTAGTAGTAGTAGGTAGTAGTAGTAGTAGTAGTAGTAGTAGTAGTAGTAGTGGTGGTAGTGGTAGTAGTGGTGGCAGTAGGAGCACGTAGCAGTACCAGTAGTATCCAGTAGTGATAGTGGTAGCGGGAGGAGGAGGGGGAGGAGGAGGGGGAGGAGGAGGAGGAGGTGCCGATAGCTGCTGCTATGAATACTTCCAGCTCCTTGCTACGATGACCACTGTTGGTTCGCCTTTGCTACGGCGGTAGCAGCTGCTGATGTGCTGTTGATGATGAACGAGACAGTGAGAGCGATCGCAGTAGATGGTGATAGCCACGACCACGACGGTAAACAATCGATTGACTGCGCCCCACATGGAGATTGATGATGTTGGTGGTGACGACTGACCTGACTGCATGAATCTTCGTTCGTGTTCATTCAGGAAGATGGTAGTTTCAATGGTTTGTGCTGGTACTCGAGTCTGACAGAAGGTCTTCGATGCTTGCTCAATCCATGCCCGTGGGCTGTTACGAGGATGCTTGCGCAAGCACGGTTTCTTCGAGTTGGTCGGTGTCATGAACGAGTCCGTGCTTCACATGATGCCACCAAGCTGATCTGGGGATTGTCCTACAGGCCTTCGCTGTGGCGGCAGCTCGTTAACGGGATTGTGGTCACGTTTCAGAATTACGCAAACCAGGGCAGGTTCGGGCAGTACTGACCTTGCGGCATATCACCTGCAGTTTGGGCTTTGGGCATTGCACCCAGGGAAGCACTTGGAACGTCCCTGATGATCATTCTGAGCAGTACAATCTTGGGCATTTGCAGCACCATGGCCATATTCTCACGTTTGCACTGGTAGTATCACTCCAACTCCAACCCTGGATTCGGAAGAGGCACCAGCAAAAAGGGCACAGGAGATTTTATGGGCAAGTGTCTCTCTTGTTACTCTGAGGTCCTAAAATTAGTCTTGCAGATTCGACACCTGCCACTACAGGCGACGGCAACCCCCTACAATTTCAACGCCTAAATGCCGAAAGCAAAGGTATAGCATCTATCTGCACGTGTAACGTTTGTTTGTCTACGGATGTTCGGTCGTCTGCGACATTACCAGCTATTGAGGCGTTGGGTATTGCACATATATAGGAAGTATGTATTAACTAGTAGAAAAATGAAGATATGTATACACATGTATATATATATATATTATATATATATATATTTATGTATGTGTGTGTGCCATGCAAAGTCTGCGAACGCTGCCAAGTGGGAGCCAAAAATATACACATATATAGAGTAGAGATTATATATATATATATATATACATAGTCTTTCACATGTGCGCGAGTAAGTAAACACATATAGTCACGATGTGACTAGGCGCATGTTCTACTATGCACTTACACCTTATGGAGACACGCAGCTGAGGTCTAGTGGGCCGACTCTGATCACCAAAGCTCTGGCGGCACAGGATCCCCTGTTCGACATGGCCCCCCGGCTCACTCTCCAAGACTCTTCTGATTCTTCCACCAGCGGTGTAGTCTTCCCAGTCATTGTGGAGCCCTAACCCGTTGACTCTTCGGAGGTTTAGGGCTTAGGGATGCTTAGGTCTAGGCTTTAAGTTAGGTCTACGTCTTGGACGTTCCTTCTTCAACTTTGCTTTTCCTGGTTTTGCCTTTAAGAGCTTCGGAAGGGATTGCAGGATCTCGAAGTTGCTGTGGCTTTCCCCGCTTCATATTATGAGGATAGGGGCAGGCCGGCCCGATCCTCCGGAAAAGCCTCTCCATGCTTGCGGATATTTGTGGACCCTGTCGGAGCTTGCAATTTGAGAGCATAGGGACATCAAAACTCATCAAAGTGGTTTTGGTGCAGGTGGATGCCGCCACAGCAATGTGCCGCGGAAGCAAGCAGTGCACTTGAGATTGACCGTCTCCGCTGCACTGGGTCGCAAGCCTGAGAGCCCCGTTGTGCGAAGAAGGCCTCCGATGCCCAAAAGTGCAATACAGCCTGGAGCTCACAAGAGGCTTATCAGGCTTTGAGGGAATGTTGGCTGAACCCTCCACCTGAAACACTTGGTCATAGCTTCGAGGTATTTCGTCGATCAAGGAGCAGTTCAGTACACCCAGGCAGGAAGGTGCTCGTAGAATTGGCAGAAGCGACATTGTGCACATCCACCCTGCCGTTTGAGCTTTTCGCCCAACTTTCGGCTTCTTTGCTCCGCCTTTGCCCACAGACCTAACTATCGGTGTCCGCCGGTATGCTTGTGCAGGCTTCCATTTCGCAAGCCTCGGTGACTGCTACTTTCGGCGGAGCCACCCTAGGCTCGCGCTTGACACCCTTGGGGGCCCTTGGGGACTCCGGTTCGTCTTCAGATTCATTTGTTCATGTGGCGAAGAAGGTGGTGACGTAAAAAGCAGCAATACCGCCATCTGAGTCATTCCAACAGTTAACTGCATCATCGTCTATCAGAACCTTTGGCAAATCCGATCGAGCTTGGTCATTCGATTCGTTGTCAGAAGGCTATACTCCTTGCCCCGAGTCTGCGTGCTTGTGTATGCGCGCACCCCTTGTGCATGTATGCTAGTAAGCATACATGCCTGCATGTGTAAGCGTGCATGCACGCATGTATGTATGCATGAATGTAGCTATACATGTACCAAAAGTTCACATGCATGTGTATGCTTATTTGTGTGTATATATATATATACATATATATATATATATATGCATATACGTAACTAGGTGGGTACGTACGCACATCGTAGGTAGTAGGTAGGTAGGTAGGTAGGTAGGTAGGTAGGTAGGTAGGTAGGTAGGTAGGTAGGTAGGTAGGGTCGGTCGGTCGGTCGGTAGGTAGGTAGGTAGGTAGGTAAGGGTTAGGTAGGT